AATGTTTGCTGGATCAAATTATACTTCTTAACCTTTGATAAGCTTTATCATCTCAAAACAATGTTTAATCAATTTCCTATGTAAATGTTTTTCAGATGAAAGAACAAGTCCTAGAAGCAAAGTTTAATCTTCCCAGTGAGTCATTTAAAAGAAATTGTTTCTAAGCTTTCATGCTCATAAATGCCTCTTCTGGGGTCTGAACCAGCAAGTCTCTTAAGCCACAACTTTTGTTTGTTTGTTTTTACATAGGCCTGAAATTGTCAATATAGAAAATAAGTTTCAAAGCTGCAAATGAAAATAAAATATTGAAAATAATTTGAGATGTTTAACTAGTAACATTTAACATTAAAGGCTAAATGTGATACTTTTTCCTGCATAGTTTTCAAATATGAGGGTACTTCAAAAAGTTCACGGAAAGATTCACATTCTTTCAATTCCATTTTTCCAAGAACTTTTTTGAAGTACCCTCTTATAGACTCAAAAAATCACTGAGTACTAAATCTCATCCTGCAAAACATTTTTTTCCCTATGTTACCTGTACCAATAAAACAGGGTACACATTTAACCAATAATGATCTATCTCTAGATCCAAACTGTATCATCTTCATCCATTAAGGCCTGAAATGAAATCTTTCCTATACTGTTTTTAAAAAGCCTTTCCCTCCTTTTCCACAGTTCTCAAAAGAAGGAGTAACTTATATTCACAACATTTTGAATATTCTTTTTAGTGGAGAAGTGTCTGCAATGACAGTATCTTTGTTGTCAACATTTTCAATATTCTAAAATCAAAATCTATGCCTAATACATTCAATGGATTGTTAATGTGGAACAAAGAACTAGACCGGAAATTTATACCTGAGAATTTTTTAGTACCCAAACTGAAACTAAAATTAATATACTTAGCAGCAAACCCCAAGTAGAGATGATGTGTTTTAAAAGTATACACAGTAACATCTCAACTGTGAATGCCATAAAGAAATAAAGTATTCTGCATAAGCAAGATAAGGCAGAACATGGAAATTTACCCCCTTTACAACGAGGCTTGGGCTAAAAATCTTTCCAAGACTTAATGTGGAATTCTTCCTTAAACAGGGAATCATGCATAAGGTGCTTTACTCATGGATACCATTGTGTCCCTATGTTATTTGTATAATGTTTCCATTTTCTTTTGCAGGGGTGTTTCAAATTGTTCTTTTCCTCTATCAGCCTGTGGTGTACGCAGGACAGTCAGCGTGTGGAATCTGGGTTTGAGGGACACTTGAGCCAAGTGTGTGTAACTTTCTCTGTACAACTGATAATTTTCAGCCCTGTTCCAGATAGCTCAGACTGATAAATGATCTAAAAATGTTATCATACACTGATTTCCCAACAGCATTAGCATGTTCTTTAAGTGCACATCCACCCATAAAAACCACTAAGATTTCAAACATCTTTACTGAGTTCACATTTACTTTTTCAGAGTTTTTTCTTTGGAAAGCAAGGACTTTTTAAATTTCTTGAAAAATTTTCTTTGAATATAGTCAATATTTTCTTCTATTGCATTTTAACTTCTTAAAAACTATAATGCTGGTTTCAGTAGGCAGTTTATTAGTCATGTTGATTTAAAAGGACAGAATGATATATGAATCTCTTTTTTAAAGGTGGTTGGTTGGGAGCAACTTTAGAATGATGGCAATGGGCACAGGCCCTTATAATTATTTCTAACTGGAGGCATGATAAATATGTATACACACACATATAACAAATAATACATACAAATGTCCAAACGCCCATATACGGGTGCCTCTATAGGACTATAAGTATGCCATCTTGTGTATATACAGATACAAATGAAATATAATTATTCCCTAAAATAGAGGCAAGTTATGCTTCAGGTATTCTATCTAACCATACGAAGATGAAATAACTTTGTATTATTTATCTATGCTTTCCTAATAAAGAAATTAAAGTATGGGCTGGTCAGTTAGCTCAGGTGGTTAGAGCATTCCTGCTAACACGAAGGGCCAGGGTTTGGTCCTTGTACCAGCCAGCCACCCAAAAAAGGAAAAAAAATCAAAGTATGAACTTACAAAACTTGAATACTATAACACTTCTGGGTCAAGAAATGGATATATCTTCTACTCTTTCATCCCGCATTAAAAAAAAAAAAGTTCTGTTTTGGAAAGACTATTTGCTTAGGTTCAATTTGCAACCCAAGTTAAAGAAGCATTTACAGTCCAAAAATCCGGAATAAGTAATTAAACAGAACTCCAACGCAGGTTATTTTAATTGCTTAAATCATTTTTAAAACATAAGGTAACTACATTTTTAAGCAATTAACAATTATTTTCCAAAGAAATGCTAGGGTGCTTCACATTCTGCCTGCAAAGCAGCAATCATTTAAAAAGTAATTTACTTTATGCCATCAAAAACAAGATCAACACAGTCATACAGTTTTCAAAGTCCCTTAATAAAATTGTCCATATGGGAGGAAGGGGGACAGACAGGAAACCAAAAAAAGCTATTAAATGAGAGAAGTAATTTAGAAAAAGGGTTTCATCTACCTGGGCCTTAAAAGGAAGAAAAAAGAAAAACAAAAAACACGAAACCTTTACTGGCTTGGGATACAGTCATTTAAAAACACTGGGCAGGGTGGGTAGGATACCATGAGAGAGGACAGGTAATTTTAAAAGGCATTGTCTAGAAACTAGAAACGGGGAGAAAATAACCTCAGTGCTCTATGATTACCTAAGAACGGGTTTAGCCAGATGAACAAGTCTGCTACAAACCTTCCCCAAGGCATTTGAAAGACTATCAAACAAAACTTTATTAAACTGGATTACATGGTCTCACTCATTAGATGTTGAAGGCCACGATGTTTACGATCAGGTGAAAAAGTCTATGCATGGGACCCAAACTAGGCCTAGGTTCTCTTTTTAGTCTGTTTTTATTAGTCTAAGCATTGTTAAGACAACTCACTATTAAATTTCTTTGCCAGCAGGTCAAGTTCCAGAATCCCAGGTATAAGTGTTCAAAGCACTAAACCCTGACAGGGGTTGAAAGGCTATTTAGATATGGTCAGACAACATCCCTGCAATAAGCAGTTGATTACATCGTTATATGCAATCGTACTCTTCTTTTATTAGGAGACTTTAACCCTATGAAAATGTGTTCCCTCCTTCCTACCTCCCATTTCAAGGCCTTCCAAAAGCGAAAAAAACAATAGTTCGAATGTTTCCAAGTTATTTCCACTTCCCCTTAATCAAAAATTCAGGTAAAAACCCATTTTCAGAGTTTCCTTAATATAACATATATCCTGAAAAAGAGTATTTTAGTTTTACATATGAAATATTTTCCTGGCAGTTGTCATTTGTTTTTTGAGAACTTTAAATTGAAGCCTTTATTATATACTTAATTCTTCTGTGAGTGTTTGCCTACAAACATAATTTCTACCTTGGGCTGTTTCTGTAGAATCTTTCCATATATAATAAATTTGTCTATATCTAAAAACCTCAGGCCAAAATAACCCATTCATTTCACAGATAAATACATAAGACGTCTTTTCTTTAAAAGCAGTTTCTCAAAAAGCCTTTGAATCTACCACATTGTAACGAAGACTATTTGGATTTTAGTAAGTGTTTATCACTGGGATATCAAGCAATATGTCCTAACATACATACAAAATATCTGCAACCATATTCCTCTCAGGGCTCTATCTCAGCACTGACCTTTGTTCAAAGGCTTTTACTTTTTAATGCAGCAGTTAGAGATAACTACTTCATTTATCAAAACTCAATTTCCATAGTAACATCTAGCCTGGGGAGATTCAAGTCCTCTCACTAATCCAACAACCCATTCAAAGGAACTGTTGAATACTTTGGTTTCCATAGCAATGATGGAATAATACATTTTGCTAGGTCATTGCTTTTATTAGCAAACTTATTCTTTGAACTTTAGGTAAGGCTGTATTTATCGAGAAAAAAACAAGCACTTTATATTAGTTCCTTCCTTTAGGGCTGTTCTTTTAAGAAAATTACAAATAGTTACCCTCTATATATTATTTGGGGTATTTGGAGGTTTTTAAAGTATCCTACCTAGTTTCATCTTAAAATGTATTCTGATATAAAGTTTTAAAATTAAAAAGCTCTTAGGCCAGCCCATGACTCATTTGGGAGACTGTGGTGCTGATAACACCAAGGCCACAGGTTTGGGTCCCTATACAGGGATGGCCAGTTAGCTCACCAAGTCAAGGGTTAAGATCCCCTTACCAGTCATCTTTTAAAAAAATAAATAAATAAAAATTAAATTAAAAAGCTCTTAAAAATGATTGCTATAGATTAAACAAAATAATATTTATAAAATTGAAGGGACTGAACATTAAAGCTCATTTTAAACAGCGATGAAACATATACTAGAATAAAAATGAAGTCTCTCAAATACATTGAGTGTGGGCTGGGGTAGGGTGTAAAATAACTTTCCAACCATAACCCCATTTTTGACTGCCTCATTTTAACACTGAAATTTCAGCCCTACCTTTCATTGGACACAGAAAACATGCTAAACACAGTTTAAGCTGAAGGTGAAACTAGAGATAACATATTATCCAGTTATGCTATACATACTAAATGGAAAGGTTTTTGGTGTTTAAAATGGCTTTATCAAAGCAAAATGATTTGCTACAGAGGAAGAAAATTAATTATATTTTTTTTCCTTGAAGACAGGAATAGCAGTGCCATTAAAAGTTTTAAAATCCATTAGTAAACATTGCTGTTTATGTTTTGGGGTAATTAATTCTAAGGGAGGTAACAGGGCAAGGCTTTAGTGAGGGACCATCAGCCTTCCTGGAACCAGACTTTCTCATGGAACTGAATTTTGAACCAAGCCAGTGCTGAAAAGGTAGGCCATTAAAAAATAAAAGTTGACAGAAGAAAGAAAAGATCAAACACATGTTGGCTTTTAAAAAGATGAATACCACTTACACTATTTACACAACTCACAGAATTAACAAGAAAATTACATACCAGTATGAGTCCTCAGGTGAGCCTTTAAATGAGAAGACTTTGTATAAACTTTTGTGCAACCTAAAATATAGAAGGAGAGGAAGAACAGCTTGTCATTTTGGAGATCCTTTTGAAATCCTTACATTTGATGATTCAGTGTTTAAAATCTGGCTTTAAAGAAGAAATTTCTCATGCTGGACAACATATTTGAAGCTTCCGTTTTAAAAGATCGCTCCCCCATTACCTTATTAAAGGCATAAAGTGATTTGTTTTATGTATCACTTTAGCAGAAAAAAAACACAGGTGATCAAGGCAAACTACAAATGGAAAATGTTTATATTCTAGTAAGTGCTGTATTCTAGTAACACATACTTCAGTGATTTAAAAGCTACTATATTGTATAGTTTCAAAACTTTTAATGGCTCTATTGCTGACAATGCTAAGCCATTATCCAAGACGACTGTAATTTTTGGGACTCCTACATTTCTTGTTTTCTTTATTTAGCATGTCATGCCATATCATGTACCATAATCAATAAATTATGCCCTATATTAATCATAAACTAGCTTATGCCAGCAACTTGTAGATATATTCATTACTGTCATCAATTTATATTTCGGGCCATGTATCTCATTCCAGAATGAGCACATGCTCACATGCTATCAGACCATCTTTAAATCTATGCTTCAGTCAGTCTTGTACCTACCATCAAGGCTAGCTGTCTACAACCCCACTTCATTACCATATTTTATTTTCCCCCTACCCTAATCTCTTTCCAGAGCACTTAATCTAGAATTAAAAGCTGGTCTTGTACCTACCATCAAGGCTAGCTGTCTACAACCCCACTTCATTACCATATTTTATTTTTCCCCTACCCTAATCTCTTTCCAGAGCACTTAATCTAGAATTAAAAGCTGCAATTTATCAGATTGCTATCTTAAAATAACTCTGGCATAATTCTAAATGACATATATTAGAAATACATATTTTATTTCATATTAAAGAGAAAAAAGTCCCAGGTAACTTTTTCTTAGAATATTCTATACATTTTAATACATAAAATAAGTAATAGGCAACTAACTGGTTACATACCAGGGTAAAGCACAGAGATGTAATATGAAAGAGAACAAAGTAGGTGATTTTTTTTTTACTCTCAAGGGCAACTTTCATATGTAAATTTAAAGCCTGAGGTTGAAACAGGTGTGCACGCACACATACAACTACACACACAAACTACATCTACTGATGCTTCAACCAGGTAAGATCACATACCAGGATAATCGCAGTAGTGGATGCGTCGTTTCTCCAAATCAGGGTTACTCCTTCTATTGTATCTGACAGGTTGGATGTTTTGCGAATTAACTGGCAGGGTAGCAGGTAAATTTGGATTGTGAATTGCCAGTTTAGAAGCAATTGTAGCAGCATAGGATGGAGGTGGGGTTAAATTCTGGAGCATCTCTGCTTGTCTATCGGGACTTCCAGGTTCAGAGCTTGGTGGTGACGGGGGAAAGTAAGTGGCCTGCTGTGGAAGAAACTGACTTGGCATTGTGTATGTGCAAGGGGGCATGGCCTGGAATTGTTTCATTGCAGTCTGCGGAACAGCAGAGGTGTGTGTGTTAAGGCCTGCCATGGCAGCTGACATCGAAACATTGAGAGTGTCCATTACTGCTGTCTGGTTTGTAGAACTGGGCATATCTAGATCCGGTGTATTCAGTAGCTGATACAGGTGGCCCTGCTGGGGAGGGACAGAAAGATGAAGATCTGGTGTAGGAAGTTCTTGCTTGATGAAAATATTGTTCACCTCTGGAGCTGCGGTCTGGTGGGAGCTGAATATACTGGTGAACTCAGGGAGGGCCTGGGTCGGGGCCGGAGGAGGGGCAGTCGTCTCACTCTGGTGGCTGAAAATGGTAACAGGTTCTGTCTTGATGTGTGTTACGCATGGTCTCTGTGATTTGTAGAGGCCAGTTCTCAGGTGAGTGATGTCAGGGAGGAAGACGTTCATGTTGATACTGTAAGGTAACCCTTCACTGTCAGTGAAGAACTGGTCTACGACTGAGGCACTGTCTCGTCTATACTTTTTATGCTCTGGAATTATAGGAACTGGAGGAAGCTGAGGTGTCAGATACTTCTCCATTTCACATCTGGTCTAAAAAAGAAGAGACACAAACATGCATAATCTACTGGATGCGTTGTGTCAGGAAGGACAAACAAAGGGTGCTTACTAAAAATTCCCCTGACAATTGCTTTGTAAAGTAGGAGGGCAAACTCTTAAGGGTTGCTTATAAACATTCCAGGTTTATTTTGTCAATTGTGTAATAATTGGTTCACCAAAATCTTACGAAACTCTGTATGATATGCATTTGGTCAAAATCGCTCCCCCAATCAACCCCAGACAAAAAGTGAAAGAGGCAAATCAAGAAGAAAAGGAAGCAAACAGAAAATATATTCCCTTCTGATGCAGTGATTTAAGTATCACCCCCATACAGGCAGGATTCCCTGCCCATTATACGGTTAAGTTTGTGATTAAAGTACAATACTGAAATCTTGCCAAACTACTTCAATTCTATTCATGTCCTATAGTTAAATTTAACGTGTTTTTTTTTTTTAAAAAAAAACTATGCAAACAGTAAACATAATATTGCAAAGGTTTTTTTGCTTGGCTAGATATTTCCAAAATATCTAATATAAAATATTCTTTGGCTATTTCAGTGCCTTTTCTTGTTTATAGTCCAATGGAAACTTTGTTTTGAGCAAAACACAGTATCCACCAAATAAAAAAATATACATATACCCTGGGGTCTAAGGCAAATAAAAAACAAACAAACAGAAAAACACAGTGTCCACTGAAACAAAACAATTTCACGTTCAACATTTGATCTAAATGTTGATTTTAATCAGCGGGATTCTGTAATTGGTTAATATGATAATGAAATGTTCCTATTCATATCCCTATCTAAAACAGATCTTTAATTACCTACGGGGAAATCACTCCCTTGGTTAAGTGGTGCTAAGGGGACCCGTGGGTGGGGAGAGGCTGCTGTATCAAATAGTCATCAGCAAGGCATTTATCATGTCCTCCCAGTGGGCCAACGCTACATTCCCCCTTACTCTGTAAAAAGCCCAGTCATCCTTCATCCTCTCGGTGTCTCCTAAGCAGAAAACTGACAAACTGAAAGAGCCAAATAGTTTTCAAATTTTTTTTTTTTTTTTTTTTCTTTTCTCCTTGGGATATAATCCGACTTGGAAAAAACCACCTCAATCTTCTTACAGATACCTTCTGTCCTAGTATAATTTAAGCTTAATTTTTCTTTTAATTTTCAACACTGAAAAGGAAATTTCGAAAGAAAAAAAAAAAAAAAAGCCCAATTAGATGAAATGGCTCATAGAACTATTAACCCCGGCACCCTAATCTGCAAATAAGAGTCATTTTTTGCTACTCAATTTCAAAAGCGTTTCATCTCGGACCTCGGATCATTCGGTATCGATGCGGACGGGGTTGCCCTAACAGAAACGATTTAAAAATAAAAAATAAAAATTAGCGCTCTAGCCATGTGAGTCCCATCTCTGACAAACGTCACTTTCCTGTCACAGCACGCCGACCCTGGCAGACCCCCCGGCGTAGGCGCTGGGTGGCAAATGCACAGTAACCAAGGGGCTGTTAAATGAAGCGTCTTGAAATAAACCGAACTAAACCCCTTCGTGCACTGCGCTCCGGTGGCGGTTAGTGGTTTCTGATTTTAGCTCTTCCAGCTGTTTGCATGTGGGTATGTTTCCAATTTTTTTTTTTTTTTCCTTGGGACAGGCTAAAAGTCCCGGGAAGTTTTTTCTGGGCTATATGACTCCCTGCGTGGGCGAAAGACACAGGCGGTCGCTCTAATTCGGCTGCTGGGCAAGTGTAAACGCCGAGTGCCAGCTTCCAGCGGGCGCGGGGAGGAAACTGACGCGCGCACGAAGAAAACAACACCCCCGGTCTTTCTTCTTTTTTTCTTTTTCTTTTTTTTAAGGAAAAATAAGGGCTCCGATGCAACCTCAGCTTTTCTAACTCTTCTTTCCCAAACGCGGCCCCGCGATCGCCTCGAAAGCAGGCTGAGCCATGGGGTGTGTAGACCCCGAGGAACCTCTCCCCAGCACCCCAGTGTCTTTCTACTTAAACCGCGAGTTCAGGTTTTCTATATCTTCTTGGTTTAGTTTTGGAAGCTTGTGTG